GCTAACTCACCTTCTAGCTGATCACTAAGTATGTATGTATTATGAGATTGACACCAGTTTCCCCTAACAGTAACATACAGAAGTTATGAATGTTGTGAAAGATTATGTAAATTTATGGTTACGTGAGATGTAATAAAAACACTAACTGGGCTTCAATTAATTAATTCATGAGAGCTGAAGGGGGTTATTGCTGATTATTACATGATGATGTTAGTGATTTTTTTGGTTTTTAAATATGGAATATTCTTGTTTGGAATTAGGTTGTTTCTTTTGGTTCATTTATTTATTGAAATAATTATTAACATTAATATTTATGTTGTATTGTTCAATAATGCTAGTATCATGTCCTGACCAGGCACATATTTACTGTGTTTTGATAAGTTATAAACTTTGTATTTCAATTGTTTGAAAATTTCATTTTGGATTTCCATGGTTGTCAAAGTAAAATTTGTATTTGTGTTTCAACCCTGGTTGTAGAGGCTGTTTGTTATTAGTTTATTTCATTACAATATATGTATTATATGTTTGTACATTTGGAAGATGTATGTATTTAGTTTAAGTTGTTTATGTTTAGTATAAAAATGTTTTTGTAAAAGATTCCCAGTAAAATTATATCCTGAAGAGTTAGCTATGATGTCATGAAACAGGTTGAAGAAACTAATAAAGGAGAAGAAAAAATAGAATAGTCTAAGGTTCCATTGTTTTGTTCTTTTATATATATGATTCACCTGTGGATGTGAATAACAAAACTAGAATATCAGACTTCTATTTTTTTTCATCTTCTTTATTAGTTTCTTCAACCAGTTTCATGACATCATAGCTCACTCTTCAGGATATAATTTCACTGAGAATCTATAACAAAAACATACAAATACTAATATTCAATTGAACATAAATAATCTAAATAGAATACATATATGTTTCAAACGTAATACATTCCATTTATTTTTATGTTAAAATCGTATTGTAATTATACTTGCTTTTATTATCATGAAAATGAAATTTATTTATTCTATAACTTCATATTCTTGCTCTTTTTTTTTTTGTATTCTTTTAAGTTTTTAATATAGTGTAGTGGAGTAAAAACTGACATGCAAGTAAAAATAGTGCTAGAAATCCCAAGCTATATGCCTAGCATGTTGAACACTAAAAATATATATATAGCAGAAGACAATAGCCCAACCCTTGTAGACTG